ATAATTAGCATAGACCGGAAGTGGGCTCGCCTCTATATAAGAAGGTAGAAGAGGTTGCTTTTCATTTTTTTTGTCTTCTGAATAGAGGAAAATTATGCAAAGGGCTAAATAGCATGTGGTCCGAGACGGGGCCAGGGTTGAAAAGTCGCGAAGCGGCTTTTCAACCCTGGTTTTTGAGAAAATGTTAAGGGGGCGCAGAAGAACGCGGGTTTTGGAGGCGCTGTAAACGTTATGCTAAAATCCAAGAAGCCAGCAACTTCTGGTGGCAATTTTTGAACTCGGTTTCGATGTTTATGAACCGTTTTCATAAGTATTTCCTTTTTAAACTATGTTCCTTTTCATAAGTGTTTTTGGAATACAGATGAGTGGAACGATTAGGACGGAATCTTTCGAAACAAGGGTCCCAGATATGACCGCGCGCGCGACATGCCAGCGCTCCCGGGGAATAGAGCTTTAGTTTGCGTTGCGCGGGTTAGGAGGAGCTTCCCTGCCAATTTTACCCTACCGTAATCCTAACGTACCAAATCAATTTCGTAATGGAAGGCTGCACGTATGCGTTGCGTGCAGAAGGCGGAAAATCAATTGAGCATCTATCGCCAAAAATTGAATGGGATTACCAGTACCTAAAGCGGAAAAATATCGTAGAACGGCAACCTGTCAGAGGAGCCCAAAGGAATATTTCATACGCTTAAAATTCCACCTAAGTTGTCACAACAACCAAGGCTACCGTCAACAACCAAAATGCGCTACAACTGGCGTTTTAGCCTTTTTGTGTGAAATTGTGCCAAGGGCGTGGCAGCAGATACAAAAGCCACAAGATGACTGATGACCGTTTGTAATCACAGATGATCACAAGGCATGAGAATATTGTCGAAAAATCGCCTAATCCCCAACCGGCATTTCGATTTTTGCGCGCTATAAGTATCACATAGCCCGAGGGTTACTGTAGCGCGATAAATTATGAGGCTGTTGGCGTTGGTGGCTGTATTTAGCGTATTTTCTGCTGTTAGATCCAGTGAGTTAAAAATTAATTAGGCTTTGAACTGACTTTTTAGTCAAACTGCTACACATCGATTTGAATGCCGGCCGGACGGTGGGTTTAATCATAAGGAAAATTTTAGAACAGCAATCATTTAAGGGTTATTTTCATACTTCAGACCTTAAAAAATCAACTAAGGAGAATTGATACGTTACGACACAAAAAACCATTGTTTGAATTAATTTTAATAATGCTTAATAAAAAGGTATGAAGAGAATGAAATTGCTACACTTCTTAAATGAAATTATTGGATCCGATTTTCTTAAATCGCTAAAAAAATTACATCTAATATTGGTTTACAGTACGACACGAAAGCGGGCCTGGAATACTGTCGAATACCAAAGACTGGCTCGACGATTCTACTATCAACGCTCTGCGATATTCAGCGAGAATTCAGAGGGATAAATTTCACACAAATCCTCAACTCGACGCTGCTGAAGGTGAAAAAGTAAGCGTTGTTTTTGGTCTCCAAAAAATTGATTTGTTTTAATAAGCGAAGAAAAGGGGAATTAATTACGATGCTTTAGAGGTACTTATTTTAAGTGACTGCTGGCATCACAAGGCCTTCTACCGTAACCACGACACCGAAACCTGGGTCACGCCGTTGCGTCCAGTGAAATTCCTGGTGGTCCGCGAGCCGGTGGAGCGATTTGTGTCATTATATTCTTTCATATGCGAGTAAGTTCAACGCCATTCAGCAAGAAGCTTATGCTTAGGCTTAGGCTGAGGCTTAGGCTTAGGCTTAGGCTTAGGTTACTTAGGTTAAAAACAAAAAGATTCGTATTGTGTTATCAACAAAAAGATTTGTTTTAAAGGTACACTAACGTCTCGTTGGTTTGGTTACCGGCCGGTAACCGTCCGCGGGATAGCAAACAGGGTTACGGTAGGCGCTCGCCGCGGAGCAAAACCGAACCCGGACCACTCGCCTGGGGCAAGCGCCATAGACCAAAAGGCCATGGGAGAGACAAGGGAGGGGAGGCGGAGAGGGGATATGAAGGGTCGGTCCATCCAACGACAAAGGGACCAAATTCCCGACCACGAACTACTTTTTAAGCGAGATTTTAGTGTACCTTTAAGAGGGCTCGGCTGAAAAGAAATGCAAGTACCAAAACTACATCTGAACGTTGAGAAAGCCTTGTTTTTCAGACGCATGAAGCTGTGCCCCGACGGCACGAGGATCAAGAAATTTGCCCAGGACATCTACAGATATCTACAGAGATGAGAATTACATCAGAGTCGTGCCGCCGATTTGGGGCCACGTCGCGCCGCAATCTTCGTAAGTAGTTTGGAATTTTACGTACTGTTTTGACGACCAAACTTTTGGCTTTCCTGCTTCTCACTGGCACGTTATACGTTCATTTAGGTTCTGCAACCTCGAGCAAACGCTACACCAATATGAAATCGTCTACTACTCGTGCGATGGTGAGGTGCTCAAGCAACAGTTATTACGAGTCTTTCGGAGAGCTCAAGTTCCGGAAGAGACTGCGCAGAGGGTAAATTGACATGGCTGCTAACACCAAGGCCTTACTTTCAGCCAAACTGCCAGATTTTCAAAGCTCCGATTTCAGCAAACCAATAAAAAGACTTTAGGCGCTCCTTCACATTACGATGGCCACCACAACACACGCCACCGATACGGACACGTCAAAGGCGCTCAAGGAAGCCCTATTGGACTCGCCGATCACGCTGAAAGTAATCCGAGCCATCTACCACCGAGACTACGACCTGTTCGGGCCGTTTCCCGATTTATCATGAGGAAAATGAATTTAAGAATAAATTATATTGGCTTAATAAGTGTTCCAATTGAAGGGTAATAGAAAGTATCAAAATCTTTTCTGGATTTCAGAAAATTTCAGAAAGCAGATCACCTGTTAAAAAGCGGAACCGCAAAGCATGCAGTGAAAATAGCGTTACTGTAGGCGTACTGTAGCTGGATGACGCAGAATCGCAAAATATCGCACCCGCGAATGACAAGTACATCCAAAATCAGCACGAAAGCTGTGCGCGGATCTACTTGTTGGACGGGGGATGATGACGCTGCGAGCTCACCGGTCAGCCGCCGGCTCGCTGGCGATCCGTCGGCCTCGTTTTTTTGCGGGGAGCATGAGATCCCCCTTGCAGCGAATCTTGGTGCCGATCTTTCTCTTGCTCTTTTGAGACTGCCGGTGAGCGCGGGTCGGTAGGTACGAACTTGAAGGGCACACTTTGGCTGTTGCGGCGATACTTTCTTTTGATCCGTATACCTTTCAGTTTGAAGTAGCGATGCCTTTCAACCTTTTATTTAAAAATATTGTTGAATCACAGAGCGGTCTTGGCCAATTTTTCTTGAAAATTCTGGAGATTTTGGGCTTTATGCAACTTCCGGAAGGCTTAGAGAGCTTTTTGCTAGTTGTTCTTTGGCAGTATAAACATAGGACGTTTCCGACTTTCCGACCAAAACACGGCGGACTGAACATCGCCCCAAGGCATCGATGACGACACAAAATGATTGCTCTCCGGGGGATAGTTGATTTCTCCCCGGCAAAACTGGCTAGAGCAGGCGATTTTTTGGATCGACGCTGCAAGCGGTAAGGGCAGGGGTGTAGCCGAAACCCATTTTTTGGGTGGGGGGCAACTCGAAAATTTTTGTCGTACGCCCCTGGGTACGGCGGTACTAGTGTAATTCAAGAGTGGCGGTACAAAAGTTCGCTTCCTTAGTGTTGCCTTGCTTAGGACGAAAGGTAGGGAAAAGATATTCAAAAAGTCAAAAGGAAAAGAAAAAAGGAAACCGGAAAAGGAAAAGGTCAAAGACTCCAGCGATTCCTCTGGATTCCGCCGACTTGGACGCGCCCGGACCGAACTACCGCTCCTTACGCCTCGAAGCCGGTTGTACGGTAGGCAGGGCATGGCGGTTGTTCCAAGAGTCCACTCTGTGCGCTGCCTCGTTCCCAGTCGGTCGTATAGCTACGATCCTATTTGCGGACTCTGAATCTCTGGATGAATAATTTAGACATATAAATCTCATGTTTAAGTATCCAGCTTAAATTGATTTTCCTTTCCTGTGATTCTTTCGTCAAAATATGTTTGACTGTGATCGACCCCATTTATTCAGGTTATGCATAACGTACATCTTGCATTTAATCTTATTAAGATTATTAAGCTTTATTGACCTCCGCTTCATTTAAACGATGATGTATTTGTTGAGTCTCCTAGACGCTCCCAGGTATGAGTCTAGAACCCCCCCCCCCCCCCAGCCCCCCGGCCGGCACCAACTTTTGTATCTCGGCCCCCTTTGTGCTAGCGAGCTCTAGAGTATACCAAAATGTTCGCCGTAAGACTACATTGTAGTTCAGTCGAAAAAGTAGTGAAAAATAAAAATAAGGAATGTAGAAAAGTCGAAAAGTCGGCTGGGGGGGGGTTCTTAGACTTGAGCCCGCTCCTATCCCTAATTTACCTCCTAGTCGCCTTTCGAATTTGAACCCTTACGCTAAGCCCCGATTTAGCGGGATTTTGTAAATTTTGCGAATTTGGTGCGGCGGAAGTTACACAACCCAACAAACGGTATACTTTGAGTGAGACGCCTCACCGCACCCAAAGAACAAATGATAAGCCTCTTGGCCGCAGCTGTGCGTGACAATCGGCCAGATTAGACGCCAATTTCGATTTCGTGCACCTGCTATAAGTAGCCGGGGGGCTTTGGGTTACGGTAGCGAGCATGATTACACGCGTATTGTCTTTGTTATTTCCTTTGAATTTTGTCTTTGGCGATGGAGCCGGTAAAAAATCACCCGAAAACTTTAACACCCTTTTGCAGTCCCGTTCGTCGATCTCGATTTCAATGCGGGAGATTTGGTGAGTAATATATTCGGTAAAATTCATCGATTTTCATTTAATAATGGGCATTTTCCGGAATACCAAATCGTGACGTTCTACGTTTTTCGGACAAATTAAAAACAACTAAAAATTACAGTATGACACGAAAATGGGCCTACAGTATTGCCGACTGCCCAAAACCGGCTCGACAATCTTGCTATCAGCCCTTTGCGATATGCAACGAGAATTTCGGGGCATAAACTTTACGCAGGTGCTGAATTCGACATTCCTGGAGGTCAAAAAGTAAGTAAGTTGTGACTACTTCAATCTACTACGCGATTTTTCAGCGATTGCTGGTACAACAAGACGTTCTACCGTACCCACAAGACGGAAAAGTGGGCCAAGCCGAAACGCAAAGTCAAATTCATCATCGTCCGGGATCCGGTGGAGCGATTCGTGTCACTGTACTCGTATATCTGTTTGTAAGTCGCAATCCTGGCTTGTATTGAATTTTCTCAAACGCGATCAGGCTGCTGACTCAATTTCAATTAATTAGTAAATATTTAAAAAATAGATTAAACCCTAATCTTCTAATTTAGATACGAAAAGCTGTGTCCGAAACGTACGGGAATCCAAAAATTTGCCCAAGACATCTACAATGCGTATCGAGGAGAGAATAACTACATCAGAACGAGGCCCCCTATTTGGGGACATGTTTCCCCACAGGCAAAGTAAAAAATATTTATACAGTTGAGATTTACATTCCAATTTTAGCTTTTGCCAATTAAGGAAGCGATGGCCGGATTTTGATATTGTCTATCATAGTCGTGAACCGGAAATCCTAAAGGATCAACTGCTAGATGTTTTCCGAAAGGCCCAGATTCCTGAAGAGACGGCGGAACGGGTCAGCTATATGGTTTAATTGATCTTAAAACCGAGATTCAGGCTCTACGGCACATTACAATGGGTTCGACTACCCATGCCACTTCTTCGGATAGGTCTAGAGCACTTAAAGACGTGATTCTAAGATCGCCAGCTGCCCAGAATATTATCACCGCAATTTATCACAAGGACTACGAGCTTTTCGGACCGTTTCCATAATATCCTTTCTTTATTTCTGTTGCAAATGGCACGACTTCGGCACAGATTAAGACTCTTTCATCTTTCGTTGTACTTAATTTATTGATTTTCTATTCATGTTGACTTGAATTTAGTAAAATATATTTCTATTTTCTAATTTATTTTACCGTAGTGCACATAATACGCCATGAAAGCTACACGAATTTCTCATATTTGTCACATAATGTCCTAAAATATCACAACAGGCGCACCGAATTGCAGAAAAGCGATGCAGAACCCTGTTTCTGCACTCCAGGGACAAACGCTACGCTGCCGACCGTTTTTCGGAGACTATCAGTCAGATTCGGGTGGCGATCGGCTATAACTAGCCCCGGGCCGAGGTTACGGTAGCAAAAAATGGCCAGCGGATTGCCGCCCTTGCTTGCCTGCCTCTCTTTATTAATCTTTATTGCGGTCATTAATGCTGGTAGGTAATCGAGTCGTTGGATTTCATAAATTTTTAGTGCCATTTATTGATCTAAACGTGAATGCCGGTGAATTGGTAGGTTTAAATTAGTGCTGTATATACATATGTATACGTACGAATCTTTGACGTCGACTTCCGGCTCTCGATCCTGACTGGCTAGCGCAGTTTAAAAATTGCTTAAGCTTTAGTATGATACCAAAACCGGACTCCAATATTGCCGAATGCCCAAGGCCGGCTCCACGATTTTACTCTCCGCCCTCTGCGATATACAACGTGAATTTCGGAGAATCAACTACACCCAAAACATCCTCTCGAAGGACCGCGAAAACCAATGAGAAAGTGCGTTTCTAACTACCCAAAAAGGTGTCAGGTACCGTAATTACCCACTTTTCTAGCGACTGCTGGTCCGATAAAGCCTTCTACCGTAATCACAAAACCGAGACATGGCGAAAATCGAAGCGCCAGGTCAAATTCCTCATCGTCCGCGAGCCGATCGATCGCTTTGTGTCGATGTATTCGTTTATTTGCTTGTAAGATTTTCGACAAGGTGGTTTTTGCCAAATTTTTAGACACGAAAAGTTGTGCCCAAAACGTACAGGAATCCAAAAATTTGCTCAGGATATCTACAACGCGTATCGAGGCGAGAATAACTATATCCGGACCCGGAAGCCTATCTGGGGCCATGTCTCACCGCAAGCAAAGTAAAGTATCGTGCAAGAGAGAGAGACAGCGAGAAAGAGAGAGAGAGAGAGAGAGAGAGAGGGAGAGCGAGAGAGAGGACGCGAGTTCCTGCGCAGCCGCAGCCATAACGTGTGCAACGCCGGAGTTTTGCGTAGAAGTCTTTTCAGCCACTGCAACCTGAAGAAAACCTGGCCGGATTTTGACGTGGTATATTACTCTCGAGAACCGGAAATCCTAAAGGATCAACTGCTAGACGTTTTCCGGAAAGCCGAAATTCCGGAGGAAATTTCACAACGAGTAAGCCGGTTTTTTGGTTGTAATTCTATCCGATTTTGGCAGATGTTTCATCGAAAGCAATTTCAGGCGCTACGTCACATTACGATGGGCCAGACGTATCATGTCACCGATTTGGACCAAGCTAAAGCCCTGAAAGACCTGGTTCTAAAGTCATCTTCCGCTAAGAGCCTCGTTACAGCAATTTATCACAAGGATTACAAAATATTCGGACCATTTCCATAATCTCTGCTTTCGGTTTTGTAATAAATATTTGTTTTTAATGGCCGTCCTTACTCAAAATGTCCTACTGTACTCAAGCACTACGGTAACGAGGAAACTACAGGCTGAAAACCACAAGTTCCGCCACTGTCAAGCTCAGGCTCAGGCGCGGCGGCGCATGGCGAAGCATAGCCGCTGAACCGGTGGAAAGTCAGCATCGCTCGTGCTTCACCCCCCAGCGCGGTGCAGAGACGGAAAAGGAGCAAGAGCGCAGGTGGTGCTGATCTTCCCCTCTTCCCCCTTTCCACGGCTATATTTTTGTGTCGGTGGTGGTTTGGGTGTGAGCCCGGGGTGACTCTCTTCTCCAATCATCCCTGCCCTGTCCTATCTGTCGTGCTCGTTTTGACGGGGACCGACTCTTTGAACGGTCTCGAGGTGTGTGCCGGAAGTTCAGCGATGGTTTTTGGGTGTTATTTTGGTGAGAAATTTTATTAGATTTGTAGATTTCAATTTCAGTCATTTAAGTCTCAGAAGCTGAAAAGGTATTTGGATTATTGGACCTTTCGGAATATGGTAATCCCGAAAATCGAGGTTATGAATTTTGGCATTCTGAACATGACATTCTGCTGACCGATACCAAGGTACCACGATACCAAGATATGCAAGATACGCTCGGTAATACTGCTGTATGCCTCCAAGACGTTATTGATACTCCGCACAAGCAACTTCAAGACTTCATTTGCCAATGGTGTGATTAGCAAATTCAAACTTACCTGGTGCTTTTGACATTCATAAGCTTGTTAAGCTCCTTACAAAATGTTGAGTTCTCGGACACTAACACCGAAAATCTTTTGCTATGCTGGTTATAGGACTCATCAAAACTATAGGGGGAACTTTGTCAATTTCCAGCAAAGATCATCATCCGCCGAGACCGAAAAACCGGTCATTTGGCCGCGCGCCGCCCAATCACAAAATCGAGCCGCAGCGGCAAGACACGATACGTACAAATCAGCGATCAGCGCGCGCCAATAAAACAATGGACGGCATCAAGGTGTCTCCCTCTCTCTCCCTCTCACTCTCACTCTCTCTCTCTCGCCTCACTCGCTCTCGTGGTTTGATGGATTGCGCTGACTCGGCGTGCTTCGGATAGCCCGCGGCTACGAAATGCGCGTGATGACGATGCGGATCATTGCGGAATTGGAATTTTGGGGGAAATGCTCGTTTTTCTAGACGGACCAGGCGCTTGTCTTCAAAGATCATTGAAACAAAGCTCAGGGGGAATTTCTGCCGTGCGGGGTTGAAAACGTGCAAATCTGTGGCCTGGGGATAGGCGCAGAAAAGAACAGCTTCATACAGTTTAATGGATTCCATTTAATTCGCCAATTAAAAGCGAAATTAGCCGTGTTTGCGAGCTTTTAAAGCTTACAAATACGGAGCCAACACCTTCCGAATGGGGTCTTCCATGACGGCTAGGCCAGCTTCGGTATGATGGCATTGATTGTCAAGATACGAGTGTTTCGTAGCCGGATCAGACATCCGGAAAATGTGCCCTTCGGAATCTGGATGAGGCATTAATTATGAATCAACGTTTTTTTTATGAATAAACGTTAAAAAGAAACGCAAACTAACTTACCAAGAAATGCTGGGATTAAATCGAACAACTGGCATTTCGGGCACTGTTTTTGAACAAAACGCCAACGTCTTCTAGCTCGATTTTGCTCATATTCCGTTGCCTGAAAAGTATTGAACCGACGCATACAATTTAGATATGTCACTTACATTAAATGATAAATTCAAGCCATCCAAGGGTTTGTCGCGCTCCAACGAGTCGATGACGTCATTCAAGAAATTTTGTATATTTTCCACTGCCGGCTTCCCGGGCCTGGGCTCGCACCGGAACGGAAAGTCGAGCTCGACGATGATGTGCTTGGTGAAATTGCTAGCATTGTGAAAAGCAATTTATTCGGATTAGGACCTAAGATACCTTAGCCTTTGGATAGCTGCCAAATACGCCTTTGTCTTTGCGTCATCGCCATTTTCGGAAAATTCGTCGTATTTTCCGAATGTAGCGATGTACCTAAAAATAATGGGGACGTTTTCAATTAAATTTATCACCGTAGCCTACTAGAATTCATGCAAATTCCGATGAATCACGTGAGGTATAGAAAGTCACCTTAAACAAACATACACCACATCCGGTTTCCTTTCTTCAATCAACCTCCAGAGATACTCGCTATGCTCTACAAAAGTTTAATTATTTGAGCTTTCAAGCTATTGATTCAAATTTAAAGTAAATATTCGATACCTGGCAACTCGTTAAAGAGCGCTACCGGTCCTGGAGTGCCAAACATGTCTAGCGTCGAGCGTTTTGCCAGAGGAACCGCTTTTTCTAGGGCCTATATTTTAAGGTATCCCAGATTCCTTAAAAATCAACTTACCGATGCTCGTTGTGGGGCATAAGAATTTCCCAGTAACATTAGACTCGTCCGGCCGGTTCCATTCTAAATTTATTTTTTATAGCTTCTGTACATTGAGATAAAAGCAGGTAAAAAAAAGTAAACCGATACCTTAACAAATAAAACCTTAAAGGGGCTACGAAATGCCAAAAATTGAGTGACGGCCCGAAAATCGGAGCCCTGTACGTCGGAGGCCTCTGTACACCCAGGGCCCGGGAAGCTCGCAAATTTGAAATAGCCTGTTGTCACCTCGAAATCACTTTCTCGGCTGTTTCTGGGCCAAATTTGATGATTAAAACACCAAAACTATTTGAAATTAAGTGAGGATTTCAAAAATGGGCTCAGAATGCGCAAATTATGGTGTTTTCACAAAGAAACCGGGCAAAAACAACTTCGCGCAAAAATCGAAAGAGTGAGGGCTCTTGTCCCGCAGCGCCCGCTGGCAATTTGCCAGAAATCAAAGAGGCCTCCCAAAAGGGCTTTGATTTGGCAGTTCGGAGCCCCTTTAAGCCGAGTTACCTGATAAACAGCATGTCCCATCTCTCCGATAACAGCCGGATCCTGATACACAAATTTCCCATTAACCCTTGAGTAGTATTGCATATTGGCCAGATGCCAGGCTATTGCTTTTGCATTGATTTCTTTAGTGGTATTGCCGGATTTTGCTCTTTCTACAAAAATCAAAATTCAGCCTAACTTGTAAAAAAATTGCAACCTTGTAAACTCTCGATTCGAGGAATTCCATAGAATAAGGTGCCAATGGCCGCAAATAATATTGTTAGCACGATGAGAACAATTTGGAAATCAGCGCGGAGGAGTGGTTTCTCGAAGAAGTGATGAAGGAGGATGCTGATGACGATGGTGATGAGGAATGCGACGAGTTTTGCTAAAAGTATTCATTTTTCTTGCCGACTCTCGCTCTCTCTCCCTTTCTCGCTCTGCCTCTCTCTCTCTCTCTCTCTCTCTCTCTCTCTCTGTCTTTGTCTCTCTGGTTTTTACCTGGAACGTACAGCTCATGATGTCTGGCATAATACGTCGTAATGTAAATAGCAGGGTAATGAACGAGATACAGCGAGTATGAGATGGCAGCTATGTAATTCAAACGCAACTTTGACCAGTTTAACTTGCTAAAAATACTATATCTTAATTTTTAAACGCGACTCACGAAAAAGACCCGACAAACAAGAATACAGCCGACACCAGGGTGACGATCAAAGAAACTCCCGGAATTTTGAGTGGTATAAAGATGAGAAAAATCGAAATGAAGATCACGGCCGAGCCAATATTGACATTTTGGGCGTAATCTGAATTAACGCCATCGGGCCCTTTTGAAAAAAGTTGACGAAACAAAGCTCTATCGTTTAAGGCAAGAATTAGTAAACACAATTTACTAATCCAAACATACCTGTAGCAAATCCGTTCAGCGGCCTCTCATATACAATAGCCAAGTGACTGGCCAACATCCCGGCTAAAAACTGCCACAACCGAGAAAGTGGATTGTAAAAGGCCTCGGTGGGGTTGTCGGTCTTGTACTTTGCATACAAGGCAACGAATACAATTAGTAGAATTAAGGAGCCGAGGTCTTCTCCTAAATTTTTGCATGAAAAAGCACGGCTACCAGGCGCAGTGACGCGTACGGTCGCGTTGCGTATCCTTAGACACGCTGTCTGAAGGCTGGAATTTCATAACGGCCCAGTCGTGAAACTGCAGAATACCTTTAACCCGAACCCTTGATGCGTAGAATATCAAAGGAGCAAGTAAATAAAATTGCATCTCAACCCCCAGTGACCAATAGTGGAGAATCGGAAGAAAGACGACCTTCTGAAACTCGAACCGGATTACAAAGTACTTTTGCATTAAATGTCAATTAATAGAAATTTTCTCACATCCCCAAAATAATTTTGCTCATCATGATTGAGCTCGATATTCAGCCCCATCACCAGTGTCGACCCCAAATAACTTAAATGCTGCAGCCGATAAGCAATTGTATAAAGGAAATAAATGGCGATGGCTAAAAAACCGATATTTTTACGTCATAACCAGTTATACCTGCAATCCCCAACACCAGATATGCCAACGGGACAATCCTCTTAACACGGCGTACATAGAAATTCGTGATTCGTCGCAAGGGACGGCTTTGGTCCTTCGAAAGAATATGCATAATCAAGTAGCCTGATATGACGAAAAATCTAAAGATTTTTAAGGTTTGGTCTTGGCAATACTACTTACATATCCACCCCCAGAAAACAGTGCGGAAACCACTCGGGCAAGAAGTGGAAGCCGAAAACTGCGATAATCGCAACAGCTCGGAGGACGGCGATGTCGTGACGGAATTTCGGGTGTGATTCTGCGGGTGGGACTGAAAAGGGAAAAGGTAGGTTACTGTCTTGTTACGATATTATACATAACTTTTAATATCCATTAAGCGACTGGATTTATCTTAAGAAAATTAACCTGAATTCCGTAATCCCCTTACTTTTCGAAACTCCTTGTTTTTCTTTAAAGTCAAACAATTAGAGCGGGAGAAAGAGCGAGAGTGAGGGAGAGTGAGGTAGAGAGAGAGAGAGAGAGAGAGAGAGAGAGAGAGAGAGTGAAAGAGAGAGAATCAGCGAGAGAGACAGGGAGAACGAGAGAGCGATAGAGACAGAGCGAGAGAGGGCACAAAATGCGAGAGAGGGCGCGAAAGAGAGAGAGAGAGAGAGAGAGAGAGAGTGAGAGGAAATATTGCAAGATTACCTTCATTCCCCGGTTCCATTATTGCCATGGTGTGAACGGGACATCCCGGGTTATGCAGGATTCTTGGGTTTTGCCAGACCCCGGTGGTCATCTAGAGAAAAAGGCTTTGGAATGTATAAAAACCTATAGTTTCAAGGTCTTTGTATTGTTTTGAAACCTGACGTGAGGCTGGGAATTTCGATTTGATTTCACGGCTCGGGCTGAATTTATGGCCGCCACAATTTCTTCAGCCGGGCCCCCGATAATCGATGAGTTTTGCATAAAGTTTGGCTGGGAATGGGATACGATTATTTCAAGTGTCTCGAAATATTTCTGTACATATTCCTATGTCAGATTTTGAGCTTTGTTTGTCAATTTTCAAGCTGTACATAGATTTATCAGCACATAAAAATAATTACGAGGACTACGATTTTTCAAAATTCGGTCTGGATGTAAATTAGGCGATTTTGGCGGCCTTTGGCCCGGAGACACCCCACGACTCGAAATAAGAGGTATCGGTACCGCGCTCAATCTGAAAAAAGGCAAATTTTATCGCTAAAGTAAATAAACATCTTAAAATCGCATAACCGAGTATAGTTATTACCATGAAATACCCATTAATGCCCCAATTGACGCCCCACGAGTTGCGAACCAGCCAGTAGTCAACGCCATCAGCGGTGGTGCCTGAAAAGGCGATTCTTGGAGTGAGTTTTCACCTACCAAATCCAATGATAGCTACAGCATGCCCGCCAACGAATTCCGGATTATCGTAGGTGCACTGGGTACGGTAGACGCCGCCGGTGTACATGTAGAAGTCGTTGCAGACGTAGAAGGCTGAATTTTTCGGGGAGTTTAATCGAGTTTCTATAATTATTTCTCTACCTTGCTCTCTCTCTCTCTCTCTCTCTCTCTCTCTCTCTCTCTCTCTCTGTTTGCCAATCGCTCGATTAACAAACTCCGAGGCATGCTTGAAAACACCTACCGGCCGTAATTGGACCAGTATTTTGGACATAACTCTGCATCTGTGCAAGCTTCCCGGTCATGTCGAGTACGTTAGCAACAGGCTTGTCAACGGCCTAAAATTAGCATCAGCTATGGTAAGTTTCAGAAAACTCACCAGCTTCTTCGGGCAAGCCACCATCTTGCCGGTGTATTTCTGATTGACCGCCCTGGCCAGGCCTTTCGTTTTCGCATAGCTGGATTCGCTAGTTAACGTGTTATTAAGGTATCTTCCTACGTCATGGCAGTGATGGGCCAGCCGCCGTTGCACGTATTGCCTGCGACACAGTTGAGCAAATGCTAAACTTAGCGGACAGACATTGAAGGCACAATCACGTGATGAAATACCTGCTCCGAATAAGCACGTCGCTTGGCACCGGTGCGTTTATTGAGGAAGTTGGATTGGATTTCGATGGCTGCCACCGATCTAATTGGTAATATTATTATAACCATCGACATAAATCATTTTTCATAAAGACTCTTTGCATGAACCTACGCAAAAGCCCAACACGATCCGCATGAGCCCTGGTTCCTAATGGGGTTGACGGCCTGGGTGGTCCGCCAATCTTTTGTGCCGATGTTGGCCTGAGAGCTTTTTTATTCAGCTTTAAGAGCTTGAAATGGCTTCTTTAATAACCAGATGTAAAAGCTCCTAAACTCACTCTTTTCGAGCGACCTTCCGCATCGACGCTGCTGAGGTTCAAGGGGGCAGGAAGTGTATCGATGTTAAAAACCAGCTGAAAATTTTAAGCCCTGCACGGTTCGGTCCAACCTTCTTCAGCTCCTCCGGATCCCAGTCGAGGTACTCGGTGATACCATATTCGGCTCTAAATAGCAAAATTATATTGCAACCCCCGAACTTCTAGCTACCCTCCCTTCTTCTTCGTGGCGTTCAACGATTTCAGCTTCTTCAGGTTGGCTTTGAACGCCTGCTTCTTACGTTTGCACTCCGCAGACCCGTCCGAGCATGCGCGATTGAAGCTGGAATTTCGAGGTTTTGCTACTGCGCTCAAAATCGACGCTACCAAGACGTTGAAGCTTACCGAGACTTGAAGCTACTGAACTCCTTGAGTGTGTCACTGTCCAAGATGCCGTCCTTGTCCAACGACACCAAGTTGACGGCCAAAACGGTCGCCACCAGGCCGAAGACGGCAAGCATCACGACGCGCAGCATTTTGAATTAGCCCAAGCTAAAAATTTGGAAGTCTGAAAAAGTTTGCAAAACGTTAAAAACTGCCAAAAATTTGGCTCGAACGCTTCAAAATGAGCTGCTTGCTGACGAGCTCCTACTGGAACGCTGACCTTTATAGGAACCAAATCGCCAAGGTCTCTTTTGCTCGTGCGATCATATGATGCTGCCCTTTTTTCTGAAATTATTCCACTTTTGAACCGATTACACCCGTTTTGTGACTGGTATAATCCGTTCCCTGTTTCATGTGATGCTTTTTGACCTGTCGCTTCCTATTCAAAACACCATAAGCCCATCGAAAAAAAACGTCTGGAACGCATGTCGTCCCCGTTCATGCATTTCCTGAAATAATGCAAATCCCAAAACCATTCTTTGGACCAAGCGTGTCGTTGGCTTTTTAGTCTGGCTGTCCGATGCTTATAAATCATGTGCCAATAGAATAGTGCAAATACGAGTTGTTAATGAGGATGTAATAATATTTTTTGTCGTAACAGGATTTATTTCAATATCAATAGGATATGATAATCGTTAAAATGTTGGAACATGTAAAAAAATTGTTTATTGTGATCCTAATGATGTGCATTTTCTATTTCAATTTTTAATTTTTGAAACACTGATTTAATAAATTTTTGAACAGTACTGTTTTTTGTAAAAAATTGCGTAATTGAAGAAAAAGCATTCAAGGCCGGGGTTTCTTCCGAAACTTCAAAAAGCAAATTATGATGTATTTCTTTCTCACTCAGGGGAAGCCGGGTCTGATGAATCTTTTCTTCGTTTTGTTTCGAATGATAAAAATTTGTTCTCGGATAAAGTAACCCCTTAACAATGCCATTTTTCTGGACCGCTCAAACTATAGTTTTCAATTTTTCTCCAGTTCAAGCTCAAGAGCTAGCCATAAACGGCCTCATCTTATATTTGATCGTGTCGTAACTAGCGTGCTCTTTGTACGGTGAGGAGCTCTGTGGTGTGCTGGCGCTCTTTTATCCCCGGCCTCCGAGGATCGAGAGCACAACCAAGATACGTGGCCGCGCGGCAAGGCGCCGTCCGGGAACCAAGGGTTCATGAAAACAATTTTGTCTTGCGCTCAAACATGCGCTCCAGCAGGAGCAACGTTCATCCGAACGTCAAGCCATCATGTTGCCCCCTCCCACCCTCCGCTCATCGATTTTGGGAATTTGAAATGAATGCCGCTCTCGATCCCAAAATTTCTAATCCCGAAACTCTCTATCCCGAAATTTTCTATCCCGAAACTCTCTATCCCGAAAGCACAATTTCCTAACCCCCTACATCTTTGAAGGCATCGGAAAATCATTTTATCAAATTTCCGAAACCGAAAAATAGCGGAAAACTATTTAATTCAAAGACCTATTCTGGTGTTTGGTACGTTAAAGCTAGCTAACTTGTTTCGGGATATGGAGTTTCGGGATAGAGAGTTTTCGAGATACGGAGTTTTCGGGATTGGGAGTCTTCGGAATAGGAAGTTTTCGGGATACAGAACTTTCGGGATAGAGAGTTTCGGGATAGGGAGTTTCGGGATGGAGGGTTTCGGGATTGGAAATTTCGGGATAGAGGAAACACCCCGAAATTTTTTTTATAAATAGCCGATGCGTTTCTAAATTGTCTTTAGCTATTCGTAAGCATAAAAACTACACAAATTTTGATTAAAAAAATTTCAGGTTGCAAATTAGAGAACCTTTAGGATTTGCGGGCGGAAGGACCCAAATGACCAAATTCGACTTTTTCAAGCATTTTCCTAACGTTTCTTGGAAGTTTTTTTTACTGAGTTATAGTTAAAACTCTCTAACAACAATGTGGAAAAAAATTGGTCGTTTTTCGCTAAAATCTAGTGGTTTAGATTCGAATTGCATTGCATGGATTTTCGAGATGGCACGAAATTATTTATGCTGAACACAAAAAAACGAAGTTTTCCATACAATTTTTCAGGTCTTTCCCCGGTATGTGATCCTTATCCACTGTCGACCTGCGTTTGCCTAAAAAACTTTGCTATTGCGCGGAAATCACATCGGGAGGGGCAGCACGCCAAGTTCGGAATGCAGGTCACAACGAGTGTTTTGGTGGCGCGGATCCGGCTTGTCGCGGCTGTACATCAGCGCCAAAACCGGAGTCTTCTTTCTCTCAAAAGCGCACTTTCCAGATCCCAACATTGGACTGGCGAGCAAAAACCGAGTGTGTTTCTCGAAAGAATTTTTGACAAAAAAGCCGAATTCTTTAAAATTTGCATTGCTATTCCTTAGTACTTGTGCCCGGGCTCGCTATAGCTGTACACAAGTTTTTTAGATAAGACTTAGTTTACCCCCCCCCCACAGCCGAAGATCTCAAAAATGTCGGTATTTTCGTTCATTTTGTCGAGATTTTTGCAACGCCATTCGATAGAGCGTCAAAAAATATACTAAAAGTTTTAATTTCAGCTTACAATAATTGTCAAATAAACAAGGATAGCCAAAAACTTCCGGCTCGGGGGTAAGGTCAAGTTTAGCCGTTTTTTAAAATTTGTTCCTGGAAAAATCGGTTTTAGCCAACAAATTTAGCAGAATAATTTTTGCGAAATGAGCCTTCTATATAACAGCGGTTCGGGTGTACAAGCCGCAAGGCGCCCCCTACCAGTTCATGTACTTCTGGATAGCCTGCCGGCTGCAAAACAAACGCAGTAGACGCCCTCGTTGGAAAAACCAGATGCTCTCTCTCTCCCGCTCTCTCTCTCTCTCTCTCTCTCTCTCTCTCTCTCACTAAAAATATCGCCCTCGGCTCTAGTCTTGCGAAGCGATCGCCCGATTTCCGGTTTGCAGCATTGCGAGTGACGGTGCAAGGCCGCCATTTCGCCCTTGTTTTTCTGGGTTTGCGTCACCAGGGGCCGGGGACGTGAGATGGATCAACCCGGCGGGATACGTTGAGCTCGAGCTGTTCCGTAGAACCACACCTTAGGCCACAATCTAGCACTTACAAACTCTATTCGGAATCTGGGTATTCGAACAATTATTTGCCAACTGATTAAAATCCCGCTGATTAAAATTAAAATCAGCTGGTGTTATTAGGAGTTTTATGTAGTTTAAAGTAAAAACTAAGATTTGCCAAATTCGATAATTTCGGTCATTAGATGGGAAAGAAGGTAATTATTATCTGATTGGGACAAACCTTAGCGACTAAAGTCTTAATCATTGGTATTTTATCACACCGCTAACGATCTTTACAAGTTTTCCCCTTGACTTGCTATACAAAACACTCGATTCGATTGCCTTAAAAATCAATTTCAAGCCAATGCCATCTTCCTGCAGTCAGTCTAACGCGGTTGGACGCCCTTTACCAAATACGGGTTTTTTTTCTTTAAATCGTACTTGTCGCACCCGGGGGCCGCCTCGGAAGAGACGGGAAACGGAAACCGGCCGGTCTCTGCAGAAGGGTACGTACGGTAGTGATGGGTGGGCGAGGAATGTTATTTTCATCTCGCCCTGGATGGTCGGGAATGCTGAAAACAACGCAAGTGCAACCCCCGGGTAACTTTGCGAGCTGGTTCGGCGCGGTTCGATAAAACACAAAGAAAGTTGATTCTAACACAAAAGTTCGTTCTGGGTCGTAAAAAACCGTAACGGGACAAGTTGACGCGTTGCATGTCGATCAGGGTAATAGCAGTTTGCATATTAATCCCTTTTCCTCCCATAGCCTGAGACCCAAACAACGACTGAGGTTCTTGCGGCGTTGTAGATCTGGCGTAAAATATAGCATAATGGATAAACCGATTAGCGCGTTGCGCGTTGCGTGTCGCGACCGCGGTCCATGCGTTCTGTCGAAAAGCCATGCTGTTACGCCTCCTTTATCTCTCGCCGATCCGAGCTGCGCTTTCCATCGAGATCAACGCCAGACGGGGAACTGTCTTTGGGGTATGTCATCGGCGGTTCAAAGGTTTACGAACTGTACATTATTCAGATCACGATATTTATAATTTGTTGCGGAAGCAAGAAAGAAAGACTTTGATTCAATTACGCGATGCCATTACGGCCCAACCCTTTGTACCGGTTTCCAACCAACCAACCAAACTAAAAGTACTTTTTTTAGTGGGTGGAACCGGGTAGATGCTTATCATTCTCTCTCTCTCTCTCTCTCTCTCTCTCGCTCTCTCTCTTTCAGGGGCACGTAAGAATAGCCTCATTCAATTAACCAAATAATTGTATTTAAACGACAATTTCCGTCTCCCTCGGCTTCGACCCTATCAATTTAAGTGCCCAGACCGCTTTTATGGTCTCCGAGTGTGTTGTTCCCCGCCTAGAGTTTCGTGAAAAATCAGACAGGGAGCTCCCCGGTCCCCACCCAGCCATTCGAGCCTGATTTTCTGCTCACACGAACCCCCCAAGGAAAGCGCCCCGAAAGAGCGACCGACGGGTGGACTGGGAACGGCGAAAGACTGGCTATTCCTGAAAAGCCATCGGCAGTCGAGCCTAATTTTCAAAAAAATAGCGGTGTGTAAACTACCCAAACGTCCCGGAAAAATGTAAGGCACCTTTTTTTTTTATTGCATAACGGAAAATTGATCCAAATTGATGGGCAGCACATAGGATACCGTGGGGGAGCGACATTTCTCAGATTTTTTATTTTTTAAACGCCAATCGGTAGTACATCAAAAACATATACTAGTAAGAGATCTTTTTACCGCCCGAAAAATGTAATATTAAAGTTTTATAGTATAAAAACTATCTGAAAGCTATGGGCAGCATAGGATAACAGAGGGGAAGCGGAGAAATATTTCTGGCGTCTTTCGCCTTTCTTTCGATATTTTGAAAATGCCATTCGATAGGCGGCCAAGCAATCTGCTTGGAGATTTTTTTATAGCCCGAAAATAAAACCATAATTAAAAAAATATCCTATCCTATAAGCGAGAAAAGTATGTTTGTTTTCTGTACAGCCGATTTCTCGGCCGCCAGGCCGAGTTTCCGGCTGATTTTTGGCATGTAGGTGGAGAAACACATTTGTCA